AATCTATAAATAGTTTTTTCCCCCTATAGCAATCTATTCCAGTTTCTTTTTCTTTTCCCGAAACACTCCAGTTTTGGCTTTATTTTTCAATTCTTTCCTGGGCCAGAGTTGGCACTAGACTAAATATTTTTCTCTTTTCTGACATAGGTGAGGGAGGTGAAAAAGAAGCCCCAAACCACCCAAAAAGGAGATATCTTCATTAGAAACCAACTTTCTTGCAATTTGAAAGAACAAATGTGGGGAACCAGGAGTTGGAGAAGGGAGAGGTGGAGAACCATGGAATGCAGAGGCAAGAGTATAAGAGCAGATTTAAACAAAAAAAATCAGAAACTACTCTTGTTTGGCTAATGGGTGGAACTGAAGGGTTAGTGATTGAGCAGCCAAGGCCATCCAAGTATACCTAGTCTACTAGCTAAATAGAAGAAAATGCTGGTGTTTTTTGCATGTTTGTTTTAAAGGAGAAAAATACTGCATCTTCTTCTTGCTGGATGTTGATCCCCAGGATTAGATTTGTGTGGGTACTATGATGATTACAATGAAATCCAGAACCATAAGGAAAATAGCTACTCTGTCATGGTGACGAACCTGGGCATGACACACACAAACTGTCTGTAAAAAGAAAGCAGCTGGTTGTTTTTACCAGGTCCTCATTAGATTAATCCTCTAAACATTAAGATCTACTTTTCTGAAGGATCTAACTGAATAGTTCAGTGGATTAAGTGTCTGGCTGCAGAACCAGAAGTTAGGAATTCAAATTCTCCACTAGGCATCCCAGATGAAGAGCCAGTCTGTGCAGTCTTGGATAAGCTACACAGGCCCGGAGTAAACCACTTCTGATTACTGTATTCGATATAGAGGAAACCCTGGAAAGGACTGCCATCAGAACTGACTTGAGGACACAGAATTATTACTAAACAAATGTATCATTCTTTCAATCATGTTACGTAACCGCACAGTATAAGTCATTACTATTATTTTGTCTCCCATTTTACTGTCAAAATGATATTTAAAAAGATTCTATGGGTCTGTCTAGCATGAAGGAACAATGACCAATTACCATCCATGATAGGAATAAATTGTAAAGCAGGTATGAAGAACCTTTTGCCCTCCATCTATTTGGTGTTTCAACCCGCAAGGCCTGGCTAGTGTAGCCAAGGCTAAGGGGTTATGAAGTTGTAGTCTGAAGCAACTGGAGTACCAAAAACAAACAAACAAACAAACAAACAACAAACAAACAAAAACCCTAGTCCAGTTGTAAAGAAAAATAGCAAACTCTAGGTCCATACTTCCCTGTGCTCCTTTGAAGAAAGCAGTGAAGGACAGGAGTATTGCTGCTAAATCCCAAGCACTTGCCTTCTTGCCAGGCCATAGAGGTGTCCGTTTAACTTAGTCAGAAAGATAAAGGGACTGGGAAGATTGAACAGGTTCTGGCCACAGAAGAACTAAAGCGACTGTAGCCAAATCAGATCCAGCGTACGAGAAAACAGTCAAATAGTCAACTCCAATGTACAGGGAGAGTAGGACATGTTGTTCAGTAAAATGAGAAATGCCCATGGCAGTTATCTCTCAGCCCTGCTGAGCACACTTACATTTTCCCTTGATTCATTATGACTGGCCGTGCTTCCCGGTTCTACAGAAGGAATCCAGGATATCAACTTTTTCAGGCAAGCAGGAAACCCTGACAACAACAACTCAACTGCATCTAAAGAGACAATCTTTCTATCTGAAGCATTCTGAGATACCCTAGATTCCTAGAAGTGTTTTCTTAAGGAAAAGTTTGTGGCACTGAATGAACTTCAAGGTTAGTTAGTTAGTTAGGCATCCTTCAGTCTCGAAAGACTATGGTAGCATGCTCTGTATGGAGGACTTGGAACAGCATCTAGTGTGGCTGAGGAGGCCAATTCGAGAGTGACAACGGTAGGGTTGACATGAAATCAATATATATATATATATAGCTGGAGATTTGTACCCTGTCCAGCTATTGGGAAGTCACTGTTCTGTGCAGCTATAACAAAGTAACTTAAATGAACAATCATAATTAAAACAATAAACATACAAAACGAAGAACCCTCTAGGACTATCATGTATAATGAAAAACCTAAATGTATAATGAAGAATCTTATCCTAAAGGGTCTCTGGTTGACTGATACAGAGTAGGGTGGGCAACAATGGTCTTCCAGGTATTTGTTGCCTAAATGCTTATCATCCCTTGGCAGGATAGCCAGTATTGAGGAATTATGAGAACGGCAGTCTAAATAACTCTAAATGACTGCTCACAATGATGAAGAATAATTTTTCAGCAACATAGAGGCTGTTTCAGTTTGAAAACATCTGAGCTAATATTAAATTAAACAGTACTTAGAGAAGAGTATGGTAGAAAAAAGCTTTTTCATCTGTTGATTTTACAAAGCTGATTTACTATTCACCACCTTCAATGCACAAAATCAATAGATGGGTTCAGAAATCATGAGATTTGAGGTTTAAGCAAAGATCAGGACAGAATGACTTCTGGTAAATAGCACAATCTGCTTCCATTTTAAAAAGATAACACAGTAATTCAGAGGAACTACTAAAAACTATAGGAATGTTAAAGAATAAATTCCCAGAATACTGTAAAAACATTTCATAGTTGTTGTATACTATATGTTTTCTATCATAAGTCTATCCTATTTCTTATTTATAAAATAGATTTTTTAAAAAATAGATTCCCATGCTCACTTATCTCTCATTTAACTAAAAAGTTTTTATTTGTTTGTATTAGCTTCAGAAATGAAACAGACTAAATAACCAGACTACTCCTGAATATCTGAACAGTTACTGGTTCATCCCCCATACCCTGACACCTATATTATTCTAACAGAAGCAATGCAATGTTCAAAGATTTATCTTAAGCATTATGTAGTATCAAAGAAACAGTAATTCTATACTAAACCTGTATTTTAAAAGGTAGCTACTTCAAACTGTTTTTGATTCAAGAGTTCCTTTCCATTTCAATGTATGAAATACCATAAAATATGACTAATGGCCTAAATATGTGAGTAACCCTGTTGAGGGTTTAAAATTAACAACGCAGAGGATCCAGTACCAACACAAATGGCTGCACTGAAGCATAAGCACTATGAGCTATACAGTGCTCTTACTACCATAAGCAGCCTGACAGGGGGCATCTGCCCTGATCTGGGGGTCAGGTGTCATCCTTAACCAATCCATGAGCTGCCTGTATTTGCCACAATCATTTTAAAGAATAAAGGCTACCACCTTTTTACTTAGAAGAATATAAAAGGATACAATAGGCACCCAACTGATCAGCTTGCTATACATCCTACTGTTTTTACAACCATTCCAATGGCTGCTCTGCACTAGAATAAAAAACTCTGTTTCATAATCTCTATGACTGGCATACAGAAGTGCAACAACAGAGGAAACAGAGGAGGACTAGGTTAATGGGGTGGAAGAAATTGAGAATTTGGGGAATATGAACTATGAAATTCAGTTGCTGGACACTTTGATGCTTCTGTTGAGGGTGCCGGGAAGTGGACTAAACAGGCAAAGGTCAGCATGTGCCCAGAATAAAAGGATGATTCACACCTTTAACTCCTGTTGTTGAATACTTCAAACAAAGAACTCGGAAAGGAATTGATGCTTCCACGTTTATCTCTTATCAGAGGGCATATCAAAGCAGCTCCAAAAGGAATCAAGTGCTAGAACTGTGACTCTTAATTTGACAGGAACCAGTCTGCTATCTTCCCTGAGAATTATGCAGATTTTGGCAGTGGGAAAGGGAGGAGGAGGTCAAAAGATGCTTTTTGTCCTGATGGAACACGAAAGCAGATTAAGATGCTGTTGACAACAGGTGTGTAACATAGCTGTTGTTTAGTCATTAAGTCATATCCGACTCTTTGTGACCCCATGGACCAGAGCACGCCAGGCGCTCCTGTCTTCCGCTGCCTCCCAGAGTTGGGTCAAATTCATGTTGGTAGCTTAAATGACACCTTCTCCTCTTGCCCTCATACTTTCCCAACATCAGGGTCTTTTCCAGAGAGTCTTCTCTTCTCATGAGATGGCCAAAGTATGGGAGCCTCAGCTTTAGGATCTGTCCTTCCAGTGAGCACCCAGAGTTGATTTCTTTCAAAATGGATGGTAGCTTCAATGGTGTCATTGAAGCGACCACCGTTCTCTTTGCAGTCCAAGGGACTCTCAAGATCTCCTTCAGCACCACAATTCAAAAGCATCAATTCTTTGGTGGTCAGCCTTCTTTACGGTCCAGCTCTCACTTTCATACATCACTACTGGAAAAACCATAGCTTTCACTATGCAGACCTTTGCCGGCAAGGTGATGTCTTTGCTTTTTAAGATGCTGTCAAGGTTTGTCATCGCTTTCCTCCCAAGAAGCAGGCGTCTTTAAATTTTGTGGCTGCTGTCACCATCTGCAGTGATCATGGAGCTCAAGAAAGTAAAATCTGTCACTGCCTCCATATCTTTCCCTTCTATTTGCCCGGAGGTGGTGGGACCAGTGGACATGATCTTAGTTTTTTTGATGTTGAGTTTCAGATCATTTCTGTGCACTCCTCTTTCACCCTCATTAAGAGGTTCTTTAATTCCTCCTCACTTTCTGCCATCAGAGTGGTATCATCTGCATATCAGAGGTTGTTGATATTTCTTCCGGCAATCTTAATTCTGGTTTGGGATTCCTCCAATCCTGCCTTTCGCATGATGTATTCTGCATATAAGTTAAATAAGCAGGGGAGCAATATACAGCCTTTTCGTCTTTCCCAATTTGGAACCAGTCAGTTGTTCTATGTGCAGTACCGGATAATCCGTTCCAATTGGAACGGATTAACCGGTTTTCAATGCATTCCTGTGGGAAATGGTGCTTCACATAACGATGTTTTCACATAACGTTTTTTTTTCTGGAACCAATTAACATCGTTATGCGAGGCACCACTGTACAGCCTTTTCGTCTTTCCCAATTTGGAACCAGTCAGTTGTTCTATGTGCAGTTCTAACTGTTGCTTCCTGTCCCACGTATAGGTTTCTCAGGAGATAGATAAGGTGGTCAGGCACTCCCATTGTGCAATAGCCTTGTATAAAAGGGAATTAGAAAAATTAACTAGTCAACCTAGCGTATCTCTGAAGACAAAGTTCTTTGCTCACTTGCTTTTCTTGGACGCCTCGAAGGATTTTAGCCTGCCTCTGAGAAGGATAGTGGATCTGTTTGCAGTCCTGCAATCTGCATGTCTTGGAACTATGCTATCTTTCTGTCAAGGTGTGAGTAACAGATAGGGTTGACCAGCTTTCATTATTTTCCAGTGTGTTCCTCTTGGATGCCTTTAAGTCTACCTCCACAATTGATCCTGGATTTTGAAAAACTTTTTCTTGTAACCATCCAGCTGAGGCAGTCTGTGGTACTAAAACCAGTCCTTGCCTCAACCAGCAGTTTGTGTGGGAGTGGAGGCAGCTACTATGCAAGGTTTGCATGCAAGCTCTAAGTGCCTAGCCTTGGGAATTATTTTCTTGTTTTAGACTCCCTAGAACATGGGTAAGTCTGGGAGACTAGGGTTGTTGGGAGTGAGATGGTTCCAGTCAAATTCCATAGCCCTCACTACCATCTGCCTCTCCCAACCCAGGATGAGTAGTATGGCTGAGTGGCTACAGAGAGAGCGTCTTGACCGGGAAATCATGACAGCAGGCACAAACAAGATAAGGTAGGGCAGGTATGGGAATTGAGAAGACAGGCAAAGTGGGTAAAAGGAGCAAGCAAAACAGTGTAGGATAGAGGATGATGGGGGGCCTGATAGAGCAGGTGATACAGTGGAAGATCAAAACGAGGGGAAAGTGGAACTGAGGCTTGATAGGACCAAACTCCAATGGGAAAGTAGGGTTTGCTATGCAATGGCTCACATTACAACCATCATAGGAGAACCAACTAAGCTGTAAATACAGGGATGCTGTATCACAAGGATATATGCAAACATACATTTGCTTTGGACAGAGTAAAAATGGGCTAAAGATTTTCTGGCAGGAAAGACCAAGATGGCTGATGATTAGGAGAGAGATAGGGTTATGCTTCTATTGCAGGAATTCATGTTACTGCTTGCATTGCTGCCGCTTAAGCAAATCCTCAAATGAGACTGTGCAATTATTTTGGCAGCATCCATCTGCTTCACCACCCAAGGAATTGTGAAACAGTTTTCTCCTTGTTTGTTCTTTGTAGTGGTTTGAACCTGCTGTGTGATAGGACTCAGTAGCACTGATAATGCAACACTGAAACAATTACATTTTTTCCAACACATTTCAAAGTATCAGCATTTTCCCTCTTTCACTTCAATGCAGTTGATACAAAGCTTATAAAGTGGTGATTTATATTTTTGCTCTTTTTTCTCCCTTAAACACACGCCTAGTTTTCAGTGTGTGGACTGTAAGTGACCATAATGTATTGGCAAAAAATAACATTTTTAGAAGTGCAACCAAGAAAAGTGTGTGTGGCACCTACTTACAAAACATAATCTAATACCTACTTCCAGTGTAAGACAAGAATCCCTCCATTTCATAACTTGAGCTTATGCACATTAGTGTTTCTCATCAACAGCCTCCTGGGCTTCTCTTGAGTCTGACACAGAGTGGGCATATTGCAAGACTGACCCCTTGGTACTTCCTGGGTGGGACACATCATGCTGTGGCTGACGGAGCAGAATGTCACTTTTAGGAGTTGCTCTGTATGTACATAAAGAGAATATATTGAGATAAACAATCTAAAGAACAATAAAATAAGCATTATATGCAATATACACCATTAAAAAGACATAATGGATTGTCAGAAGGTTCTCTTACGTACTCCTAATTCATTGCCACTGAGAAGGCCACAAAATAATTAATTGGATGAAATGCAATGGGCTATTTAAGCAAATTAAACCCTACAAATTATTTTTTGTTTTCTTTTGTTTGCATGTTAGCCTCTACTTAGCCTTTACAGGTAGTGAAGAATGGTGAAGATTCTTTACCATTTTACCTTCTTAATATTCCACTATTGCCTTGAATTTGCACTTTTTTCTTTCAAGTTCATCAGTAATCATTTCAGATTATTGCTGCTTTCTGCCAGTAATATGCCTATATTAGGCTACTGATGTTCCCTCATCCAATTTTCACTCTTCCTTCATCTGAATTTGATCCTGTTTTCTATATAATATGTCCTGTATACAGAATAAACAGACAGGGAGATAAAATATACCCTTGTCTGACACTTTTGCCAATTGACAACCATACTGCTTCCCCATTTTCTGTCCTAACTGTAGTCTCTTATCCAGTGGAGAATACGTATCAGGATAATCAGATGTAGCACACCCTACTTTTCTTAGAGCAATCTGTTCCTGATCTGCACAATTTACATGTAATCTATGAAGAGATCCTTTGTTTCCCCCTTTTTATTATTTTCTTCTATTTCTGCAATTAATATTACAATTGGCTTCTTTGTGCCAAAGTACTAATACCTGAACAGTTGCATTTAGAATTCAAACCCTACTTTTGCTACTTTTTACTTGTGCTTCCCATATATCCTTTACTATTTTAAGAAAATTGTCAGTCATCCATCAAGGAATTTCTTTTCTTTTGCCTACTAGTATACTCTTTTTTTCATTCTTCCTTAGTATTTCAGATTGTTTTGTTCGTTCAATTTGTTGCTCACCTTGATTAATACGATTCACATTCCAAGTTTCAATTATATGCATCATTCAGCTTCAGACATTATTTTCAAGTCTGTTTACATCAGCAGCTGAATATCCTTCAAGTTCAATCCAGTTGCCTTAATAAGAACAGCACTATATACACTTATCCTTCGCCCTTTTTTCCAGTAGCGAACTGAGTGACATTGAACTGGGAGTCTCATCTTCCAGCACCCTCTCTTACATATTTTGTTTCGGACTGCCTCATTATAAGGTTTTCAAGGTATAAAATCTTGCAGTACTAACAAAAATTAAGTCAACTATCACTGCATTGCTTATGGAAGATCCTCTGCCAGTCTCAGCATCGACTACTCCCGCTGCGCATAGCCACCCTTCAGAAATATATCCATTCTCATCACCATTGGAACTATCAGTTCTCTAATGCTGATGCAGCCATTGCTCCCTAAAGGGGATGGATCCATGTTACGTTTGCTGTTTCAACTCTAACCATTTGTCTGGCACTTTTGGGAGTTTAGACTAAAAAAAATAAAACAAAACAACAGAGCCCTCTTGAGTTTCCTTGACACTCTCAACCCCACTCACCACATTAAGGTATACATCCCAGAAGGGGAAATTATCATTAACAATTTACATGTTCACAGCATGTCCAGGACCATGTTTCTACTGTTTGTCTTCACTCAAAGAGATGCTGCACCATTTGAGGCATGATTACATAAGACTCCCATATTTAAATTGAGCAGGACTGCGCAGGGCGAAACGCTGCATTAGTAGTCTGTGCTCTAACAGTCAATTTTAATGGGCCTTGAGTTTCTACAGAATTGAAATACCTTATTGCCAACTTCTTCTTTGTTGTCCACTCTAATCACAAACTTCCTCCTGCCAGTAATATGCCTATATTAGGCTACTGATGTTCCCTCATCCAAAACACATTAGATGCTGCCACTGTTTAAACCAGGGTGCCTGATTCTTTCATTTTCAGTGCAAAAATACATGGATTTGGAAAGAAGCATTTACTCAGTGATCCATATGATCTCGTCCAGCTCTGCCACTCCAAGACAACAACAATGATTTATTTTGTCATGGATCAATCCAGTGCCCATCTATAGCACACATGCTCCATTTTCACAAGTAAAAAGTGAAAATATAGCATTTGCTTATAAGTTTCCAACTTCTCTTTTGGTATTAGTGACAAGAAATAATTTATATATACTCTATAAAATGTAAACTGAAGTTTTAAAGAGAAAGAGTGTCTTACCTTCCTTCAGTCCCTTTCTTTGTGCTTTCAGCTAAGCTGACATCTTGCAGGTTGTCTGTCTTGCCTCTTTTTTCTAGTTGTGCTGAAATCCCTTTAGGGCTTGAAAGCATTTGTGATCCACTCTGTTCACTGCAGGCCAACTCCTCTTCCTCCATCTTCTGGCTTGATGTTCCATCTGCTTCCAGTTCTCTCTCAGATGTTTCTGGACAGCTTTTGATCTCAGTGAAAGTCTCTTGGCTCAAGTAATCATGGTTAGCAATTGCCACTGCGGAAGTGCCATGATTGGTTGTGACACCTGTGCTGGTCCCCATTGATTTTGAAATTACCTTCAATTTGTGAGAGCTGGATTTGTAGTGCTTCTTTTTATGCTTTGCTTTAGAGTTGTGCTTTAAGAAAAATTCACATGACTCTTGTAATACTCTCCGGCTTTCACTGATCGGACTGAAAAAGAAGACAGACTATTAACACCTTCTTCCAAAATTATTTACAACAATTGTGAATTGCATTCATACCTGCAAAACTAACCCATATATTTTTTTGCCAAACCCCAGCTGATTTAAGACTGTACCACATAGCACTCTAAGCAAATATCTTCTGATTACATAGAACACATATGAAAATAGGACAAATCCTTTTGCACAATAACATTTATATTTTGCACAAATACAAAGTTGCAAGTGGCAGTAGGGAAAATATTAAGCTTTATACAAGTATTGTGAATAGTCGTATATTACTTCATTTAGAACATATTAAAAAGTAAAAAGGAGACATAAATCCAACACATAATTGTTAGCTGCTCCAGAAGCTCATGCACAGCCACAGACAAAACCATGCTATATTTCTCATCTTCCCAAGGATCCATAAGCTAGGTAGTCATTATGGCTCCTGCCGTGTATATAAAGTCAGAGACAGGAAGTAATATTCCCATTGACTGAGGTTTTGCCAAACAAAACTGTGAATATTACTGAGGAATACAGTCCTCCAGTTCTTTAGTTATAAAAGAATATCATAGCAAATGCAAAAGGCACTGATAGCCCTCTGCATCCACGGGTCTTTAAAAAACCCTCTATAGGAGTGGCCATCATTACATCACTTGACAGTGAATTCTATTAGTTTCTGTGCAAGGTGACTCCCTTTTTGCATCCTATTCTCCCAGGCTTCCCTCAAGCCTATGCTTTTCAATCTATTTTCTTTCACCCATATTAACTCTATGCAGTCAACTCATTCAACTTTTCAAACTTAAAACTCTTCTCGGTCCTCACTATCTGTGACATAACTATGTATTTTTCCATGCACACCTACTTTCACCTTGGGCTATTTCCTCACAGTGTTAAACTTCCACTATCCATTGTTCTTTCAGGCTGACATCTGTATCCCTTTGTCATGCTCTGTTCCACTTCCTGGTTTGAAGCTACTCCATTGACTTCCCCTGCTTCTTGGGTCCATGTTGGCCCTTCAGTCTTGCTGGCTGCTCAGTACAGATACTTCTTTAGATTTTGGAGACAGTTGCTCGACTGCCTGAATGTTCTTTATATACATCTAACTGTCCTTAAACATGCCTTACACAACACCTATAGTTTGTCAGGATTCTGCTATGAACAGGCAGAACATTCAAAAGCTAAAACTGTCAAGTTCATCCTACTTAATATGGTGGCATACATAAACAGCAACACTCTTAGAACAGCAAAAGCAGAATTTTCCTAGGAGCATGGATCTAGTAAATCAAATCAATACTATAAATGGGATAACATGGTAATGTAATAAGGAAGTATTTTGGGGAATATATCACTTAAGATCAAAACTATATTAAAGGTACATGAAATAACTACATAAGAAAAGCAGAAAAATATAATTTTACAGGGTTAGAGCCCTATTGCTCATGATTACATATCTCAGAGGATTAGTTTACAAAAAAAGCTTATGGGTGGCAGATACATTTGGCTGACTGCAGCTGAAAAAATAACAACTTGGCCTTATGGATTTGAAAGTACTTCTACCTCTTGCAATGCACACCCAAGATCAGGAAACAGACACATACTTAAGATATACTTTTAAAGGCATCAATCAATAGTGTCAGTCTCAAGCTCCTTACTTATAAATAGCACTAGAAAAAACAACAAACAAGGAAAGCTCTTACTCTCTCTTGCGATTTCTTTTGAAGAAACTTGCCCATTCAGAACAGGTCTTTTTGCTTCCTATCCAAAAGACTGGAGAGATGCCAACAATTAAAGTCATTAGGTATTTCATCAAAAACAAGCTTATTTCTGGTCTTGCTAATATCTTGACCTGGAAAACAATAGCCATTCATTAAGAATTCAATAGAGAAATGGCTTCTCTGCATTAAACATTGGAGAACAAGGTCAACTGTGTCAGCATAACTGACACAAATTTTACATCAACTATGACATGCTCAGGTTTAAACAGTTTAAAATTAAATTATCAACCTTGTACTGCTTTTATTAACATAATTTGCCCAGGACATCACAGAAATATTAATGCAACAAATGGCGACAAGGAAAATATGAAGTTTAAAGAAGACTTTTGGATAACCTTATTGTACTTCACTTAGAACATAATACCTAAAATCCATCAGTTGCAATGAGAGCAGGCCCAGTGAATCAATGGGGATTTGATGAGTCTACATCTCTGTAAATTCTATTACAGCTGCAACTTAGTACTGGATTTCAACCAGTACCAAAATTTTAAGGATTAAAGAGACACAAAGCCCAAAACAAAACTGTTAGCTATTACAGCAGCCCACAGAGTTCCACAAAAACACAATCCCGGTAATTCTGTCAGTGAGACCTAAAGAAACTACTTTAGACTCTCCCTACATTTTTACACTGAAATTAAGTCAGAAACAACAGCCACCCTACATCAAAGTAGAGAGATAAAAATACTGGCAAAATATCCGTGCTTATTTTGTGTGGTAATAAGCCACTGACAATTTCCCTAGTGACACTCTGTTTAGCAATGCAGTTATTTCCTCTGAGTATAGAGAAATGATGATGAAATTGATGTGATGAAGTTAATTAGATGAGGCAGAATCTTCAGAAGGCTTGTACTAGAATTTTCCTGCTTTTCACTACAAACTTCATCTACTCTTTTGCAGAACAGACTCAACGAATCTTTAAAATTTCTTACTCAAGTGCTTATCTCCTTCTTACCTACTCACATAATTTTATTTTATGTATCTTTATAAATTCAGATCTCCCTATTATCACTCTGGTCTATTTTTGTTAGTTTCAGAATCATGAGGTAATGTCAAAGAAATGTTGTTTTCAGTTAAATTGTTTTTTTTTAAATTTGATCAAGCTAAATGTAAAGAAAAATGAAGAAATTTTAGCCTTCCCTCTATGGAAGTAAATACACCAGAAAGGAAAGACACAACTATAAACACACTTGGGTTGAAAAAAAAATCCTTGTATTTCAATGCCTTCAGTATAAGTCAGACATCTATGTTGGTATCACCAGAAAGATATAAATCTTTTGACAGCTGTTTTGCCCCCAATAAGAGGTACAAACTTCAGTTTTGTTTTTCTATGTTTTTAAGTAACTGAATGTTGCCATCTATTTTACTGGAATGAAAAATACAAATTCTACATGTCAAGATTTTGAACAGATCAGAAATAAACGAGTCTAGCACCTTATGACTGTACTTTGGTAGTGTTGTTAGTCTTGTTTTTTAAGCTGAGTAGAACACTCCTTATCTTTAATTTTCTAAATATTTAGTTAGAAACCACTAGTGTCTTCACGAAGTTACTATAAAAATGCGAATATCCCGTGAATGTGTTTAGTACGTGCATGAAAGGTTTATACACATTAGCAGAACACCGTTCAATTGTGCTAATGGTGGTATACTGCACACTGGGACAAGAATATTCCTCAAAGATCTTAAAGGCTTTCAGTATCCTTCAGTGGACCTTCAGATCACCTGCAAAAATCATACAGTAGCAGACAAAGCAATACTATATTTGTAGTTGCAGACAAATTCCCAGCCACTGAACAGGTGCAAATAAACAGTCATGTACAACAAAAAAAATTCTTCAGATACAATTTCACTGGAAAGACAGAAGGAGTATTTCACCCTTACCTGATAAGGACAAGGTATATGGAACTCATCACAGTGGTCATAGACCCAAGTGGTTTCCCATATTTTCCTGTACACTTGCTCATAGATATAACATCCCAAGAGCATCACTAGAGGTACCAGATATAAGCCACTGAAGACACCAATTCGAATCATGAATTTCTTCAGCTTTTCTTGATTTCTGCCATCATTCTGTATGACTTGCCGCACATGATTGAGAGAGATTATGCCGGCCAGAAGGAGAGACAAACCAACAAAGACACAAAGGCACAATGGGAAAAGAACAAAGAATCTAGAAGCATCCAAGTCATAGAGACCAACAAAACAAACACCACTGATGTTGTCACCTTCCACTTTGTTCATAGCAAGAAGCAGGATTGTGAGAAAGCCAGGCATACCCCAGGCAACTGCATGGAACCACATTGCTTTTTGCTCAATAGCTTCACAACTCCATTTTCGTCCAGCAGCTAGGAACCAAGTGACTGTGAGAACCACCCACCAAACAGTTCCTGCCATTGTAAAAAAATACAAAGCCATGAAAACAATTGTACAGCCTTTGTTCTGGGAACCAAGAACAACTGTTTCACCAAACTGTAGTTTTTCATCTACCGGATTACAAGCGGTTTTGTTTCCGAGAAGAAACCCAAGGAAGTATACAAGAGACACTATACTGTAACAAACAGAATAGTATATTATTGGCCTTTCCGGGTATCTGAACCGTTTAACATCAATTAAAAATGTTAGGAATGTGAACAGAGTAGCACAGAGACAAAAAATTGAAACAATCCCAATGAAGCTTTTGGCAATATCCAGCTCATGGCTATTGAAATACATGTTGGGGCATGGGGGTGCACACTGATCAATTCCCAAAAACCTGTAGCCTTGACTACTAAAGGTCTGTAGATGGCGCGGACACCAAAATCCATAGTCCCTTCTGGGTTGTCCACGGGTCTTGTGGATCCCGTGGGCTCTCGTAGTTAGAGGAGGAGTAACAGCAGAAGTTTCATCACAGTCTTCCAACCTAGAAAGTCAAAGGAGAAAAATGCTGACGGACCATAGAACTGGTCCTTCATGCACAGCCTTTAGTTTCTGTTATACTCCTGCAGTCTTTGAAACAAGATAACTCTATAAAACATGAAAATAAACTGGTTTGCTGAAGAGTTACTCAGCCACCCATTTGAATATGGTTCCCCACTTGATTTAAGAAATTTACCTACGTGCCCATTTGCAAAATTTCTATTAACTAACATTGAATTTTAAAAAAGATTATCTTGCAACTTTTTCTTTCAATTGGCAGACTTGAATTAAAACATGTAGTTATATATTTGTGGCTGTATGTATGATAGTTATAGATCTGTATTCACACGAACATTTGTTCACTTCACTTGCACATAATCTTGCAGTTACCATACAAAGTAATGCATAGAAAAAGTCCATGTAAGAACTAAAGAAAAATGTGAGGGTAGATGGAAACCAACAGGAACATTTACAACAAAACATAAACTGGCAAACAAAAGCAGACTGTAATGACACAGCGAGATCTTGCCCGCAAAACGCTAGAAAGAAAGGAACCAGTATGTCCAGCCTATGACAGGCCTATTCCACAGCTCTGGAACAGCAACTAGTAACTGCTTTCACAGTGGCAGCTATTTTAGGGAATTCCCCAGAGAACTGAGCATGTTTGGTGGCTGAAGTATTCTTAGTGTTCAGGGTGTGCGGAGTGTGAAGAAAATGTATAACTTCCTTGAGAAGAGCATGGCTGCCTAGCACCCTAAAGTGGAGATTTAATTGTTCCTGTTAAGCATGATGAATAAATGGAACGTTCAGGTTCAGAGGCATGTGGCTGCTCTACGGTCGCTTCACAGGGGATTTGCTTTCACGTGTTCCTTGTGGGCATTCTTGAAATAGCTGGTAGCCAATATGAGAAACAGCATGCTGAACTAGGTTCTTTCTCCTGCAACACCTCTCTCTTCACCTCTGCTTCCTTTATCCCTGACCTACCCCCACATTCCTCTTTAAAACATCCCAACCCCTCTCCTTCCTATAGCCACATCTGAAGCGTCAACATGTTGCTTGGCAACAGCCTGTCAGTGTGGCCTGCATTGTTAATGCTGTTCCCCCACAGAGGCCAGGCTCCTAGCTAAGCTGCTGAAAGAGAGGACAGGAGGCATGGCAGTAATAGTGTTATAACATAGTTATAGTGTCTTAAAACATAATTAAGTATGTTGCCATATCAAAATGCAACGGAATTAAAATCAATTTAAAACTATGTGACTAAAAAAGTACAGCACCTACTCATTCCTTCAATTGTCAAAGCTAGCAGAAAACCAGGAAGGAGTGGGTAAAGATAAACTCCCTTGGTTTATTGAGAGGCTAATGATATTCTTTTCTGAATAAGACACACAGTAAATTTGTCATTATTTGTAATAGTATTTGCCCTCTCTCAAGCAAATGCAAATCCTCAGTTTTTCACTAGGGCATTACAGATGGTTTTACTGTAAATGACAGCTAAAATTAAATGGAAAATATTTGGAAGAATGTCCGGTCAAAGAAATGAAGAGGGGTGCATTCAAAATTCCCTCTCCCTCTTTTTCATAACCACGACAATAGTCTTCAATATAATTTTGCAAAATAGACAACAACTGCAGTATGCTAGGGTCATACTGGCATTTATTAATTTATTTATGTGAACAAGAGCTGCACTATTTAACCTTTTGGAAATGTCACCACCACCCGGCAGTTGAGTGCCAACTAAGAATATATTTTATTCACTTAATGAATTCAAAAAAAAATTAGGCTGTCCCCCACACCCTCAATTCATCCTGGCCTCGTGCTTTTGCTCAACCGCCACCCAAAACTCACCCAAAACTCACCTGCTCAAAATATTTACTCTTTTGAGCATAATAAATGGAAAGGTGGCACAAGCTTCTCTTACATGATTCAAATTCATTCTGGTTCCATTAAGGGCTTCTTATAGTGGGTCTTTAAAATGTCCCTCACCACAGCCTCCTTTTGCAGTTTACTATAATTCAATTTTATCATCCACAATACATGCTAGTTTTGCCATCATCTCTGGGCCTTACCTGGAATAGTGTGATTGTGATCATATACAGTGAAGACTGCAAGAACTGGAACCATGGATTTGGTTCCATGGAAAAAATATCCATATAGATATACATACACAGAGTGATATGCTTGTCCAGGGCATGAGCAGAAATATGGACCAACTGCAGTCCCGGAATAAACACACACGCACACACCTAGGAGCACTCCTCATGTCATAAAGAATGAGAAAGGAATGGAGAATTGCGTGAGGATGTAATTCAGCTGAGTGGCAACACAGAGGATCCACTTTATACACATTATCATATTTGCAGTTGCAGACAAGAGACAGGATATGTGCTGGGTGGTCTGCTACAAAGGAAGGCACTATTCTGGGGGGAAATGTCTTAATAGGTACCTGATCTTAGGTCCAGTGTGAATAAGAGACTATACCTGTTGCATTCAAGCTCCTCAGGCCATGCAATTCCAAACGTGTCTATTATTTCTTTACAGTCAGAGTAGACTCTTTCACAAAGACTTCTGCATGGATGGATCACATGCACTGGATCCACGCAGGGAGGCACAAATGCTTTGCACAGAAATATGTGGACATCTGGTGAACATTTGATAGTCAGAAGAGGAAAAAATGGCTTTGGAAGAGAAAAAAAAGATGATTCAGACATTTGTAAAGAAAACACCTCGGAAGAGAGGAAAGCAAGAACAGCTGACTAACTCAAGGTATTCTGAATTTGCTGTCTTGTAGAATTAATGATTACAAAACTTTTACAAAAGTATAATCAGCAACACAGAAATTTCATAGATGGGGTGCCTTTAACGGAACATGGAGAATTCCAGTCTGTTCCCTTCTCGTCTGTTTCTTCCAGCAATCTCTCTCTCTCCTTCACTGATACAATCAGACCTACCTACCATGTTTCCCGAAAATAAGACAGGTTCTTATATTAATTTTTGCTCCAAAAATGCATTAAGGCTTATTTTCAGAGGAAGTTTTTTTTTTTCATGCACAACAATCTACATTTATTCAAATACAGTCATGTCATCTTTTGGTTGCTGCACAATGGTGGAAGGCAGGGTTTCACTTAACTAGGGCTTATTTTTGGGGTAGGGCTTAAATTACGAACGTCCTGAAAAATCATACTAGGGCATATTTTCAAGTTAGGTCTTATTTTCAGGGAAACAGGGTAGAAGAAATAGGTTTCATGATAATGCTAAATTCTTAGAGCATCTGGGTTTCCCTTCCCAGGAACAGGAACAAGGAGTAATGTTTGAAAGTACATAAAATATGGGAAATGTGCCAAATGCATGAAATGTTCGACTACAATGGGTTGCATTTGAACAGGATGGAAAATGTAAGTGATCCCACCCTCTTCCAGACAAAAATATTGTTCTGATGAATGTCTTAGTAAAGTGAGGAAACACAAAATCAAGATCATTCCTGTACACTGCTTTAAAGAACTTGATCTCTCATAATCAGGAGAAACCCTGCATTCAAGTAAACACACAGTATCACAGACCAGTTATTTTTCTATGAGAAACAGGAAAGGGCAGGGGCGTATGAGCTCAATCTCTCCATAGTACGTACAGCTCCCGGATATAATAGCTATGGATACCTGTTTTGCATATCCATATAAACATTTATATGTCATTAAATAACCATAACAATATACTGTACCACACATTTTTTTTCTCTAACCTCCTTCACAGTTAGGAACATGCGTGAGGCATGATCCTTCCCTATTCATTTCTCTAGTCAATTAGGAACATAAATGGTGTGGAATCTCAGAGGTTGGAGCTTCAAGGAAGGAAGAAGATGGGACAATGAACAGCTCTTCTCAGGTACACATACTGAAAACCACACTGCACTTTAGGAGTATATATTCCATATGTCTTATATTACTGTGTTAACTTGCTCTTCTTGTTAGAAGAGGTAGAAGCATTCTTGCATGAAATAATAAGGTGCTTCAAAACCAAATAGGTTTAGTATAGGGCAGGCAACTTTGCAATTCCAAAGACCACTCTCTTGCCTACAAGACTCTCTATGGGCCATAAAAACTGCAAAATCAGATTAGAGGACTGGAAACTAAGCCTTTTGAGGAAAGACTGGAAGAACTGAGCATGTTTAGCCTTGAGAAAAGACTGAGAGGACATATAATAGCACTCTTCAAATACTTCAAACACGGTCATACAGAGGAGGTGCAGGATCTGTTCTCAATCATCCCAGAGTGCAGGACAAATAATAAGTTACAGGAAGCCAGACTTTGGTTGAGTATCAGGGGAAAAACTTACTAACTACTAGAGCTGTACAACAATGCAACCAATTACTTTGCTTTGGACTCTTGCATTGAACAATGAGTTGTACTTACAGGTCCCTTCCACCTCCATTATTCTAGGATTCTATTTAAAAAGGAAACTAGAAGTGGCTTAAAAGTGGAGATCTAGAACGCCTACCTTTGCTCTAGCAATGTGTTTAAGAATAATGTAACCCAAGTGGAAGTATTGGAAATCCAGATGTACAAAATTATAGGTAGCCATGTTATCTATAAAAATAAACACTCAGACCACCAGCAAAGATCCATAGCTGGGCAAAACCATTTTGGGGGCAAATTAAAACATCAATTGAATAAATAGCTCCAGAGTTCTTTAGAGCAGCCATTCTTTCTTTTTTGGGGGCACAGACATAAACATAATATGAAAGAAATATAGGCCAAATCACAATTGCATAAATCAAACCTTTAGAAGTGGTGTGTGGAGAATTATTTCTAGTTTGTGCCCCCCTTGAAATGTGCCAGTGACTCACAGGGAGCCATATGACCCCCGTTGAAAATGGCTGCTTTAGAGCAACTAACTCAGTCTATATAATTAAGGTTGAATTGCATCCCTTATGCTTCATCCAGGCTGCATTATTTGCTAAGGAGAATATAGATTTGTTGAAGGGCTAGTGAGACAAAGAAACTACTACTGTTAATGCCACAAGTAAATAAAAAACTCAAGTAATTTGAAATGTTAGGAACCAGCATTTTTACCAAGTGATCACCACTGATCTCTTATTTGACAAGAATAAAATGGAAATTGCTTTATGGAAATCTTTGTTGGAAACTACGTGTGAAATAAAAGCAAGTAAAGCTTAAAAACCTCGAAATATGGGAAGGTGGTGAAATACTTTTAGCAAATATATGCCACCACAATTAGAAACTCATTACACAAACAAGTACAAGAATTCAACAGTGCAAATTACAATTATTTCCCATACTATATCTATAACATGCTTTTAATAAAGTGTCCAGAGCAATGCACAAAAAAACATTTTAAAGAAACTAAAACAAAATGAAATAAACAAATAACACCCTGAAAATATTGGATGCAGGTAGATACAGATATGAAAAGTACTCACATTTATATGAGTTCAAGGCAAAAGAAGAGAAAGGAAGAATAGAATGTGAACTGCCTGTTACCGCCCAGACTCATTCTTAAACTAGCAATTTAGAGATTCTCGGGGATTATTACAAGTTTGTAGTAACAAAATATTGGAGAAGGCATGCCAGTTTCTTTGATGGGGCCCGTTTAATAACTCAGTTTAAGGTTCCCTTCAAAAGCTTATCTCATCCTGCATTAACCTGATGTCTTCCAGATGTTTTTGACTTCCAACATCCATCAGCTCTAGTGAGCTTAGTCAATGGTCAGGAATTATGGGGGCTGCAGTCCAAACTATCTGGGCAGCACTAGGTTGGGGAAAGCTGTGTAATCAGTCCTTACTGCACCACCTGAGGCAAGTGGAGGCTTCCAAAGAGAAAGAGCAAATGAGCAATCAAGAGGCTGCAGCAAACTTTAATTGCACAATTATTGCCACCAGCAAACAGTATATTTTTCACTTATCCTTGCTGTCCAAGCATGGTGACAAAGTGGATTAAGTCTGTGGAGCCAATATTCACCTCCACACCACCTATGTAGATAAATGATAAGGTAGCTGCTCCTTGATTTACCAGCTTTTCCTTCTGAACCACCCAGAAAGGGAGAGAAAAGAGGGAAGTGAGCAGAACCAGTTCACCAATCAGATTAAGCAACTGAAGTTAATTGCTCTTGGACTGACTAAAAAGATTTCCCGATTCATCTGTCAATGGCAGAAATCTTGTTGCACACTTACACAAAATGCATGACTTCTAGCAGCAAACTGCTGTTAAGAAATCTCCCTAGATATTATCTATCTCACACTGAGTTGCACAACCCAGTATGCAACAGGTAATACTTATGGACATTTCTTAACATATGGAAATTAGATATGGGCTATTCGTATTCGTATCCCTGCATCACAGGTGCCACTGAGGCCCATTCCCTCCCCTCAGAACCAATTAGTCCACCGCGCAGTGCTCAGCTACATTGTCATTGTGCCAATCACGGAAGGAGCCCTCCCAGTTCTTCCCTGCCTCCCCACGCAGCCAACCACTTTTGTGCAGAGAATGTGGAGAGGCAGGGAAGAGCCAGTTGAGCTCCTTCCGCGATTGGCACAATGATCTTCCCTGCCTCCCCATGCAGCCAACCACTTTTGTGCAGAGAAAAGAGATGGGAGTCTCTCTGCTCAGTAGATGTGGAGAGGCAGGGAAGAGCCAGTTGAACTCCTTCCGCGATTGGCACAATGACGACTATGAAGCCAAGGGCTGCACAGGAAACAGTAAGTAGACCAGCTGGTTCTGGGGGAAGGGAATAGGCCATGATTCATATTTGCATCTCCAGGGATACATACAGCCCATGTCTAGCGGCGATTCACTGCAAAAAGTTACACCTTTCATGTAAATGCCCACCAGGATTTGGGCAATCCCTTTTTAATTCATTTTCATTTCAAATACTAGAAAGACCAGGAAACATGAAGTACCATCTTAAAAGATATTCCCACCTGCACAACAAAAAAGTTTTTTATGACAAAATCTGCATTATGCCTCATCTAAAACTATCCACCCCCCAAATGTTTAAAATCCATGTAATCAACTAAATGCCTAGATTAAGATTTATTTCATCTAATAAGAGTACAAATTCACTGATAGGTGATTTATTTAATTAAATTACAAACATTTCTATAACTCTCAACTTCAAGAGAGTTTCAGGCTCTTTACAGATGTTGTGTTTACCATAAAAATGAAAGATCAGTAACATTTCTGGTTTTGTTCCTAGTTGACAAGTAGGTGGAAAAATGTAGTTCAGGCTTTAGAAATGTTGGGGATGCAAATTTTACAGCAACCGTATGCAAATACTGAGTCATAAGAACAGAAAGATCACTGGTAAACTAGCCCAAAATCTAGCCACCTGTGAATGGAAGCAATGGCATTCCAAGGTTTCTGGCAGGATTGTCTTTTGCCCCTAACCAGAGAAACTTCACATGCCCTGGTCGTCTCTTATCTAAGTACTACATAGTCTTGGCCATGAGACTAAGTGAGTTCGGGGTAGTGCTGTGATACATGGCCACCAGATAAGATGCTGTGATGATCAAATCTTTCAAAATTTCAAGACACTTTAGTTCAGAAGCTCACAACTTAGCACCAAAGCTCATCTAGAATACAGCCACATACTTCTTCAGACAGCATACAGAAGAATTTCCAATATTCCGAACAATAGCTTATCTCCTGGATACTGATGTTGGTTCAAACTGAAAACAAAACAAACTCCACCTGTCCAAGTGCCTATACAGCCATATTAGCACCTATCTGTCTTCATTTATTCAAGTTCATGGTTCAGAACAACAGGTGTTCTCATAAAGTGTATTATATTATTCAGAACTCTTTTGTCTGGCAAAATCACGCAGTGTTGTGTACTACTGCAGAAAATTCTCTCACAAACAGGCATATTAGAAAAAGAAAAAAAACTCACCTTCAAGTGGACATCTGCAATGTGTTGATCATAATGTCCCATTAAATTCGGGAAAAATGTCATATTGTAGGACATTCCAGAACATCTTTGAATATCGATGGGTTCACATGTGAATAAGCTGTGCCCATCAGCCAAATGTAATATTAAACTCCAGGTCAGGAAAAGTAGAAAGGCTCCCATCTTTCCAGGTACAGGTATTTCAAACTTCAGAATCCAGACATGATTAGGTTCTCTGAAAGGACGTTTGGTTCACAGAGAAGTAAACACATTTTCCTTGTTTAATCACTCAGACACAGCAACCAAGTGCCAAGATTTAATTCCTTGTTTCTCTTCATATTCTGATCTGCATATCGTAACAGCTTGAAAGTTAAAATTTCTGAAGTTCACAAACTCTAAATGAACAATAAAGGAATGGAAACATTAGTTGACAACAACAGGGAAAACTTCAGAATTTCTGAGAGATATTGAATTAAAATAAAAAGTTTAAAAATAAAACATTTATCACCCACCTCACATTTCCTCAAGGCAGGAGGCACCTAGATGAATTTTACAACAATCTAATTCAGCTAAATAATCAGTTACTGTCAGATAAAGAAGACTCTGCTAGTTTTTAACTCAGAACCAAGGATGTTCTACAAAACAGATTCCCAAATAAATATATTTAGGACTGTAGCGGAAGAGACACATTATTTACTTCAGAGTAACTAAAGAAACAGGCTCTCGGAAGCACTTTCAAAACTTGCAAAATACCCCTGCTTTTCAAAACATGTTAAGTCAGTTATAACATGCGAGTACAGAATTTAATCTTCTTTGATATATTTATTCTCAGAAAACTGATTTATACAGTACTAGGCCTTTGATACAAAGTCATTTGTAGTTTGCAAAGAACTGCTCTAACTTAAGATCGCTTCCATTTTCCTCAACAGAAGGGGGGGGGGGAACGGAGGCACCAATTGTCTGCAAGCTTTTGAAATCCGAATCCCGTATTACAAAATGAACCATGCGATCAGCTCGCTTTCAGTCCCTCCTTATCCGTCTTCCCTTCTTTAGAATCAAATGCCATTCTAGATTCTCACCTCCTGTGACTCTCTGCAACTACTTAGTGGGACCGTATTCTCAATCCCAATCCTTCTTTTTCCTGCCTGCGGAAATCTGGCAGCAAACCCTAGGAAATGGCTCTCTTTGCGAGCCGCCCAACACGGGCTAACAAAGCATTAAAAACAACAGGCCAGCGGAAAAGCAGGCTCCTCTAACTGGACCCAAAAAAGTAATTTATATATTATGCACACGACAGCTAGTTTTCAGAACTGCTGCAATTAAGCCCCTAACTGCAGGAAAACATCGCGGCGCTTCCAGACCCCTCGTCCAACCTGTCTTTCCACCTCCTCGCAAGGTGTCAAATACCAGCGCCTTTGGGTCCATCCGGCAGCAACCAGCCCGCAGAGGCGCGTCTCAGAAGGGAGGCGAAGCCACGCCCCTTCGCTCACCTGAAGGTCTCCGGACGGCGGGCGCCACACCTGGCCTCGCCTCAGGGCGACAATGGCCGCGCCGCCGAGCGAATTCCCTCCCTCGTTCTCTCCACCGACGGGATGGGGCGCTTCGCTCGCCCGCCCGCCGCCGATACCTGGACGCGCAAAGCATCGCGCGATAGTTGAAAGAGCGGGGAGAAGTGGTGCGGAGGCGGTGCTATTGCTGTTGACACACCCTCCGCGGTCACTGTGTAGCCCTTGCTCGTTCCCCCCCTCCCCCGCGCGCGCCCTTCTTCCAACATGGGGGCATTTCAGCAGAACGCTCCTCGTGCTATTACTGTAGGACGTCTGGATGTGCACAAGCCACAGGAAGGAGGATCTGTTTTAGACCGAGGAAGGGAAGGATCGTGTTTTTTTTAAATGCTTCTCTCGCGAGCAGCTAAACGTAAAACAAAGCTCTGCAAGTAAAAGAGTAGTGATTCGGGAAAGGATTAAATCAGAATTTTTCATTTCTGCTGTGCTGTCGTTTTTTTCTAGCAATGGACGAGCATTTCGAAATGGCATCCTTCGTTTGCAATGTGGAATGTTGCAAGGCACTTTTCCTCATCTCATTGTGTTTATGGAGGTCTGGCTTAGCACGAAAGCCTGCAGGGAACGAGAGTGTGACTTCATAGAAGTTTGTCCCTGCTTGATGTGAACTCCTCAGTACCACACCCTGACATTTAAGTTGCTTTTTGCTGTCCACGTAGAAAAATGTAATTATCCCAGGAAGATTCATTTCAAGTATCCCGCGTGTCTCTCCTTTCTCTCATCCTTCTCAGCTGTCACCACCCTCCTAACCCACCTCTCTTTCTGGAATTCAGATACCTTCTTCCTAATGTGAATTAGTGCTAAGCTGACAAGATGTGGTAAGCATTTGAATTAGTGGTGCATCAGTTTAGTGCTACGGGGCTAAATTAGGAGGATTTTTAAAGTATAGTTTACAAATTGCATTTCATTGGAATCCTTACCAATGAGAGTAGAGGGCAGGCAAATGGAATAGGGTTCATTTCCACACCACGCTGCATAATCATTGATGTCCTCTAGAGATGTTCAGCAAATACCCTGAAGGACCGATGTAGCAGATCACACAAACCAAAACAAGAAAATAATATGAGTGGAGATGCTGCACAAGAAAAATAAGCCTTGCTGGGTAAATAAAATATGCCACATATTTATACCAAAAGACTGAACCTACTTGTAATTACACACATCACCATGTAGTAAATATAAGAAATATAGAAAGGTACAGTGAGAAAAATGGAAGAAATACCCATCTAGCCACTCCCTTAGTTATGACGTGAGAAAAGACAAGGAGGAGCTTTTGTCAAATGAGTGTTATAAGTACCGTATATTTAATTGGAAGAAAGACCCACTTTTCAGTACTTCATTATATTCTAGTTCCTGTGTTTAGGGCATAACTGACTGCTAAGAGATACCAAGTAAAGAAAAGTGACAAACAAATGAGATTAATGTGGAATTTGCACAGTCATTGGCTCTGCATCAAATTACAATTAAATTTACAAAATGAAAAGGGAATTCTTTTAGGTAGCTCTAAGGAGAAATGGAGTGAGAGTGGTGGATGGATATACATGTAGAAACTGTGGATATACATGTAGAAACTGGAGGATACAGTAGTTAGATTTACAGAGATGATATCAGATAGATGTTACAAATGTACATTCTGGTACTGGACAAACCAAATGGAAAACTAAATTTAAAATATTTGAGATAATATAATAAACCAGGAGCCATGGCGTTGTAAGAAAATATTACATTGTGTCTTATCAATTGCAGAAAGGCACCTCCCCAAGGTAGTGCCTTTCTGCAATTGATGGACTTGGACTTGCAGTCTTACTTCTGAGTAAAGCTGCACATGGCCAAGGTTTGTGTCTGTGTGTGGAATTCCCCTAAAACAAGGCTGGTATGTACCTTTACCAGTGTGATGTAGTGCATAGAGTGATGGACTAGGGCTCTGGAGAACAGGGTTTGAATTCCCACTTGGCCGTGGAAACTCACTGGCAGAGTGAAACTTGTAAAACCACTCCTTAAATATCTCACATTGTACCTTGAAACCCCAGTTAGAGTCTCTATAAGTCAGTTCTGACTTGATGGCATAGAAAACTGCTTTAAAAAATTCCCTTCCCTGAAAGGAATGATGGCTAATTTCTTCACCTTTTTCTACTGGAATCTTATTCTTTCTTACTATATTGCTCATTCACCTTTCTGTTTAGCAAACAGTGAACGCAAGACACCTGCCCACATGCTCCTGCTTCTGACACAAATAAAATACTAATGGCACGTTTTGATAGCAGGTTTGTGTCAGTATATGTTCCCCATTTGAAGTCTATGAATGAAGTCTAGGGGTAAAAGACAATGGATCATTAATGGCTTCTCTTCATCCTAGAGAGAGGTAACTAGTGGGGTGCCTCAGGGTTCTGGGTTTTTTATGTCTTTATTTTTTAAAAAAGTGGTATAAAGCAAACAAACAGAAAAAAACAACTACAACAAAAATGAAAAATTACCAAGCTAAAACAATCCCTCACCCCTTTTAGGATTCCAACATCGTCTGGATCTCGGATTTCTCCAAAAGGTTTCTGGGGAGTTTTGCCCTAAACTCCTGTCTTTTTCCTGGCCTAAACATATATTAGTTTCCAGCTTTGTTTTACATAGTCTCTTGGTTGTTCCTGTAGCACTTCTGAAAGTGTATCTAGTTCTGCAATATCCAACAACTTCTTTAGAAGCTCCTCCATCATTGGTATTACTTCACTTTTCCATTTTTGTGGGCCCTGTGCTATTCAACAACATCCTTATCAATGACATGGATGAAGGAATCGAGAGTATTCTGATTAAATTTGCAGATGACACCAAATTGGGCGGGGTTGCTAACTCCCCAAAGGACAGGATTAAAATTCAAAATGACCTTGACAGATTAGAGTCCTGAGCCAAAACTAACAAAATGAATTTCAACAGGGAGAAATGTAAGGTCCTGCACCTAGGCAGAAAAAATGAACTGCACAGATATAGGATGGAAGACACCTGGCTAGACAACAGTACCTGTGAAAGGGATCTAGGAGTCTTGGCAGACTGCAAACTGATCATGAGTCAGCAGTGTGATGTGGCTGCCAAATAAGCCAATGCAATTCTTGGTTGCATCAATAGGAGTATAGTGTCTAGATCAAGGGAAGTGATACTACCACTCTATTCTGCTTTGGTCAGACCTTACCTGGACTACTGTGTCCAGTTCTGAGCACCTCAATTCAAGAAGGATGCTGACAAACTGGAATGGGTCTAGAGAGGGCAACCAAAATGGTCGAAGATCTGGAAGCCATGTCCTATGAGGAGTGTCTTAGGGAGCTGGGAATGTTTAGTCTTACACAAAGAAGGTGAAAAGGGGACATGATAGCCATGTTTAAATATTGGAAGGGAAGTCATGTCGAGGAAGGGACAGGTTTGTCTTCCATGGCTCCAGACACTAAGATAAAGAGCAGTGGCTTCAAACTACAGGAAAAGAGATTCATCCTGAATCTCAGGAAGAACTTCCTGAAAGTCAGAGCTGGTCAGCCGTGGAATATGCTGCCTCAGCGTGTGGTGGAGTCTCCTTCTTTGGAGATTTTTAAGCAGAGGATGGATGGCCAACTGTCGGGAGTGCTTTGATGGAGTTCCTGCATGGCAGGGGGTTTGACTCGATGGCCCCTGTGGTATCTTCCAACTCTGTGCTTCTATGAAATATACCGTGTCGTTGTTGTCGTTTAGTTGTGTCCGACTCTTTGTGACCCCATGGACCAGAGCACGCTAGGCCCTCCTATCTTCCACTGCCTCCCGGAGTTGGGTCAGATTCATGTTGGTTGCTTCGGTGACACTGTCCAACCATCTCATCCTCTGCCGTCCCCTTCTTCTCTTGCCTTCACACTTTCCCAACATTAAGGTCTTTTCCAGGGAGTCCTCTCTTCTCATGAGATGGCCAAAGTATTGGAGCCTCAGCTTCAGGATCTGTCCTTCCAGTGAGCACTCAGGGTTGATTTCCTTTAGAATTGATAGGTTTGTTCTCCTTGCAGTCCAGGGGACTCTCAAGAGTCTCCTCCAGCACCACAATTCAAAGGCATCAATTCTTCGGCGGTCAGCGTTCTTTATGGTCCATCTCTCACTCCCGTACATCACTATAGGAAAAACCCTAGCTTTGACTATTCGGACTTTTGTTGGCAAGGTGATATCTCTGCTTTTTAAGATGGGAATTTGAGACCAATACTTGCTGGATTATGTTGGGTTTCTTAATACCTAGCATTGCTTAACTCTCATGCACTGAGAGTTAAGCAAGGGCTTTTTTATGCCCCAAAGTCATGTGTGATGTCAGATTCCACTCAGAACTAGCCTTAGAATATGGATGTTCTATAGTATTATTCATAGAAGAATTGTGAAAAATGTTCTCAACTTTCATCCAATTGCCATATTTTACTAAGATTGCATAGTTCAGAAGAGACGTTGGAATTCTTAGTGGTTCAGAAAATAACATTAATGCTAACCCTTTCACTGATCCTAATGTTAATGC